AAAAGTGAGAGTCTTAGTCAAGTTACAAGTCCTGAAAATTAGGATCCCAGAACTTGTGGGAAATAAATAAATACCTAAAATAATAATTTATCAGAACAAATGTAATGGTACCCCAGCAGCATTGCTGTTTTTATTTCTACCCATCATTTAAACGTTCTCTACCTACTCTTCTGGATTCAAATCCAAGTCACATCCTTTCCGAGTGAACATCTCCCCTGTTTTTCCCTTTTCCTGTCATGTTGTTAGCCATACCAGCTTTTACTCGGCTGTGTCTGCTGTCACTGCGGTGAAAAATAACAGGAATTAGCAAGTTTGTAATGCTAATAGGCTTAGAGAGACACTGGCAGCAGTGCCTGGGAGTTAACGGTATCCTCCAAGTACCCGGGTGGCCCGTTTGTGTTTATATCTTTGTGTTCTGTCACTCTATAGTAAGTGACACACTCCTCCGGTGCAGATGTTTTCGCTCGGCATACGACAGAGTTTCTCGGGGTGTAACATCTGAAACAGCTGAGTGCTGACCTCGATTTGACACATGACGCTGATCATCTCCTCCCTGCCACTCCTGCCGCGCGCATGTGGCATGAACGCTCCCTCATCATACGTCCGTAATGCATGTAGATGTGTGTGAGCGTGCAGAATGCAGCAGAGTAATAAAGACATGCTCAGACTGTTGAATGTGTGTTGATGCTGGCCTGCTTTCACATACAGATTGGAGGCACATTAAATTCCCGTCAGTGGCAGCTAGACTCAGGGGAGCAGAGAGCTGACATGCCGTGTTTGTGTATTTCTGTGTGTGCATGTGTGTGTGTGTGTGAGCGTGCATGCATATGATGATGCCCTCTGACACCCTTAAGTGCAGTTGAGCAAATATGCAGGGATGTGACGAGTTCAGGCACCCTGATGTATGTGTGTGTAAAGTCGGAGAGACAGGAAGGCCAGGAGTGTAAAGTCACAGTGTGTAACACATGAAATCATGTAATAAAGAGAATGTTTGTGTGCACTGGTTTGTATTAGAGTACATCACAGAGAAGGAGACAAACAAATGATGCAATAAATGAGGAACTGCAAAAGTATCCATTCAAATCTAATGACATAGTTCCCCTAATCTAGAAACAAATGAATTCTATATCATCTTGAAAATATTAGGATGACAAACTACTTTAAGAACATTCCTCAAGATAAGAAAAGTACTTGAAACTGATAATTGTGTTTTTCAGACTTGAGACTTTGCAAAACGTAAGATGTTTTTCTTTTTTTTTGCAGCGCAGATGGGTCTCCTTTATCATCTGGATTCGGCCACATGGTGTTCAAGCTGCTCACAAAGATTTTCTACTGGAGTTAGATCTGGTAACTCAGTGACATGTTTATGAAACCAGATCGAAACAATGGTAGAGGCAGAGTTGTGGCTATAGAGATGCATGTGGTCGGCAACATTACTCAGGCTGTTGGATTGAAACAATGATTGATCGGTATTAAAGGGGACAGAAAAACATTCCTCACATTGTTACATCACCACCACCAGCAGCCTGGACTGGTGACACAAAGCAGATTGGGTCCATGGATTCATGCTGTTGATCCTACCATCTGACTAACTCAGCAGAAATCCAGATCTATCAGGCCAGGCAGCGTTTTTAAGCTTCATCTGTCCAGTTTCGGGTGGATGCACGGATGGATGAAGCCCCTGATATGCAGCTGCAGGATTTCCTGCATTGCGCTGCTGCTGCATCATTGGCAAACTGGATCTCTGCATAAATACACAGGCCCAGGTTCCTAATAAAGTGCATGGTGCCTGATCACATGTTAAATGGAGTGGACTCTCTTTTACTCCTACAATTTCCTTCGAAATATTCATTTGAAAAAAAAAGTATTTTGCACATCAATAAGACACTGACCTCTCGGTACATGATGCCAAAAATGTTGCATCAGTGTGTGTTCCCTGGCTTTAGTGAAGCTGATATGGGTGTGTTATGAATAATCTGCCCACACTGTCCATCTCTGACTCATGCAATAACACTTGTCACAGACAACTGGCAGAAATATCCTTCCCTGTATCTGGAGAGCCTGTGAGAGCTCCTAAAGAAATGGTGGTGCACATGACACCGTCTCACTGCCAGCATAGGTTGGGTATTGGTTTTGTGCATGTGTTTTGTATGTATATAACTCAATAAATAATATTCAAAAAAAGAAAGCTAAATGTTCTATTATTTCAATAAAGGGTGAGAAATAATATCAAACCATTGCCTATCTTTGATGCTCACTATACACAAAAATAAGAAAAGAACAGGAACCAGTGTTCAGGTTCAGTTATCAGGTCACCGTGGCAACAGCTGTTTTGTGAGATCAAAATCTCACAAACGTTTGCATCAAATTGTTCAAATTGAGATATTGTGTTCGCAGGAATAAGATGGACAGACAACTTGAAAATAAGAAACTCAAATGTTCATCATCTTATTACAATATTATTTTAGTCAGGGGTGACAAATAATGTGATCTCGCTTTAATCCTCACTATATCAGCCGATTCTATTAGATAAGAAAAGAAAAACTGAGAATGTGAGGCCAGTGTAGAGATTACTTCTTCTGTGGTCAAAGCATTCTTGGACACACTGCAAAACGAGGCAAAACTGCAGCCCTTTATGGTAAATCACTCAGTCTTTCAATGCAGCAGTTCAAGTGTGATTACTGCTAAAGTGCTCCACCGTCACTCTTTCTAATCTCTGAGAGGGAATAACATGGAGTTAGCACATCATGTGACGAATGTAACTGAGCATTCTTAGACATTTTCTTGCAGATAGAAATTCAAAGCAATCAAAAGTCTGTTTCCCAGAAAGCATTGTCCTGACAGTCATGTGGACGCAGCAGAAATCACAGCATATGCTAATAGAGGGCTAATTAAATCATTCTAATTTGATAGTCCCATGTCCATTGTGAAACATTGCTTTGCACTACAGAACACTGCATTCGAATAAACATGTGATGCTGTTTACCTACAAGGTTAATAAGTTATTACTAAATAATCAAGAATGTGCAACTCTGCACATTATTAATCTTTTTTTATTCAGCTCAACTGTTGCAAAACTGACAGTAAACACCTCGTGACCAATTCAAGCTTTATTTTTTTGTTGTATTTTGAGGGTTCAGTTCATATAGATTTAACCAAGGGCTTGACGATTTGGCCAAATACTATATCACGTTAATTTGATTGCTATCTATTATAATTATTATTTCTTTCAAGTGTAAAAACTGATTTTTTTCCAAACAAATTGTGTGTTATACATCCTCACTGTGCCTGCATATATATATTATTTATATTTATTTCCTAATCTATATTTTGTTATGTTCCCTTGTCAACCTAGTTTTTGTTGTAATATGTGATTTTCCCAGGATCAATAAGTTATCTTATCTTTTTTTCATCTCATCAAATCTTATCTTATCTCTTAAACAATTAATGCAATATTTATTTATATCCTTTCATTGCCTAGCCCTAATTTAACACACTTATGGGTAAATGTATTCAGGAGATATTTAGCTGATTTATTAGTGACATCAAGATGGCAGTTTCCTCAATTTCTCAAATATTTTCATCAATGATTTCTACATTTACAGCGTTTTTGTTTTCTGGAAGATCAACATCATTACAAGGTCTAGCAGTGTAGGAGCTAATCAGTGTATCATTAGTTTTTTCTTACAGAACATCCCCCCAGCTGGGATGGATGCTTTAAATAAAACTGAGAATCAGTAGAACTGATTGTTAATCAATCCTGGCAATTTGGGGATAAGGTCAGCGTTGTGAATATTCCATTTTCGGTGGAAAATTTTAAGATTTAAATGTCAGGACAATCATGTTAGACTCTGCAATGCAAAAACATTTAAGAGCGTCACAAAGCAGCTGCAGGTAACAATAGTCCAAAGAAATGCCTGCAGGGAGAAATCCTGTGCCATGCAAAAATGCTTTGTATTCACAGCTCCTGTTATTTCTCTCCATGACGGGCAAATAAGTGTTGCCCCTAGATTTGCCTCTGAATGGCAGAGACTGGCGACAGAGCAACTCGACACGTCCAAATCAAATCTCGTGGCTCTACTTTCTGCGTGATTACACAATAACTCCGAGCTGACTGATTGTCTACCTCCAGAAAACGCTGCCAACGTGACTGAATGGAGAATTGTTGGATTGGTACTGCCTGCTTCTATTCAAGGTGGCTGCCACAGCAAAGGGGAGCATGCTAATGGTGCTGAATAGTAATGACTCAAGCCTCTTAGAGCTGAGAAACACAAGGAAGCCCAGCACTGAATGCAACTTCTCAAACGTACATCATTCAGCTGTTTGTTTGCACTGGAATATGAAGGTTTCTGTGTTTTTTTCTTAATTCGAACATTGTCATGCTGACATTTTTCAAGAATATGTGCTTCAAAGTTCCCTTGAGGAAATTGCTGCGCGCTCAGACACAGCGGCTTTGCCTTTGTCTTTCTGACTGGCCACGGTCAACCTCCACGGTAATGAAAACTTCTGCCAATATGAGCGAGGAAGCCAGAAAATATACCACATTATTGAAGTCATAAATCAAACAATCGTCTACCTCCAAGTGGAAAAGGAAGATGGCTTTTTCCTTTCCTCAATCTTCATGTGGTGAATTACTGCCCCTTCTTATTTCATATCACTCCTCACCCTTTCAAGTTTTCAGGGAGATGGAAGAGATATAGATTTACCACTTGCACCAAATGGCTTACTGTCCACCAGAGGAGAATAAAGAAATCATTAAGCATATTAACCAGAGGAAAGGGACCTCACACTGCTAAATGATGCTGCAAAGATCACGCACCAGTGCTCTTTCTGCACTTCATCAGAAATCAACAGAGGGGGACTTCAATGTAGCTTTCTGAATGCCCACCCAGTTAAAGAATCTTATTTACTCCCACTAATTTAAGAGTTTCTTATGAATTAGGAACAACAATTTCTATTTGACAGAATTGAAGACTGCGGTAAAAGAAAAGAGGAATTACCTTAATACACAGGAGTAGTAGCCCACGTCGTCCAACTCCGCTGGTCGAAACCAAATGGCGTCCTCCTCCTTGCTCATCCTTGCGCCATCGAAACTGATGGGTTCTTCAAAGTCCCCGTGTCCTGCACTTTTGTACCACATAAGGCTGAGTCCTGCACTCTGTGCATGGGTGTAGTTGGCCCGGATATATCCATAGAATAAAGCGCACTTAATCCGTACAGGTTCCCCCAGAAGCACCTTGTATTTCAGGTAGTCCACTGACCAGTCCGTGCAGCCTTCCACTGAAAGACAAAAGAAAAGAAGGGTGAAGCAGTGGGATTGGAATAATTATTGCAAACAGTGTGTATCATCACTACAGGCCCAGCAGTGGAGATTTGTGCTCATGACATAGAGAACATGGCAAGCAGGACAAGACCAATTTCAGCGCTGGCATCCGCTCGTCTGTTCATGTGCTTTGCCAGCAGTCCTTGGATTCCTAATCAATAAAGACGCGCTCTCCCCTCCATGCAGCCTTTATGTCCCCTCTCTTTTTTTTGTTTCGCAAGACGACACAAACCAAATCGGGCTCTTTGCAAATGCACGGTACACACCTCAAACAAAAAGATGCCTAAGTGCGCCCATATGAATTCACAGCTGATTTAAAAAGGCCCGAGGCCCAGTGTGTATCCTCATAATTACTTAATACGTTTTACCATCACAATATCCCTTTGAAAGTTTAAGTGGACTGTTAACATACAACTGGTTGCTTCCTGTCTTTGTTCGCCGCCTGCCCCTGCCTTCACCTACACACGCTGTATTTATATTTGACTCGTGTGTCACCATCTCATACATATTTTGATTCGACTGCCAATAAACTATGTATAAGCTGCCATCAATATCCGTTTAAATGGCGGTGATGGCACCCACTTACATCTGACCTGAGAAAATGAGAAGCTGTTGCACGCCTGTGTTCATTTCCTGAAGCTATCAGACCACATTCACGCCTCAAACATTTTTCAATCATATAAATGGTAAAAGAAGCTTGTTTTATACTGCGCTATACACATGCAAGGCTCAGGGATATGTGTGCTCCTGTTAAAACATCAAATAGATTATTCATGCACAGCAGGCAAAGTGATGGTTATGATTCTCTGACTTATTTTTCCACCTTTTGGTGCGTAGAAGACAAATATTTAATTGACATTTATTCTTTACCAAGCTCTCGCACACCAATGAAACCTGACAGAGACAACACCAAGGTACTGTTACTAATTGAGATTTTCACACATGGTGAGTTGTGTGAAAAGACAAAAGTGTTGTGTGTGTATCAGGCGTTCGCACAGAAATAGGACGAAAATTAGTTTCCGCTAAGCTGAGGCCTGTTTCATGAAGCAAGATTCTTGAGTAACTGGTAAATGGACTATTCACACGCACATTCGTACGCTGTAACATTTCCTTCAGAGAGCTTTGTGTATTATCTATACTGTCATCACAACGACGAGTTGGCATTCAGCACTTCCCTTAAGACCACTTGGAACATAAAGTAGAGGAATCGGGAATCGAACCACCAACTTTAGGTTCGTGGACAACTTGCCTCAAGGTTTGCAATAAAATGACAAGAGATTTAACATATTAATCATTTATCATCGTCTCATCAGCCTGGTAAATGGTGACAGTCAATTATTCAGATGAAACGCTACTGCATATTTTGTAGCTTATATTTTATACCATATATATTCTCTATCCTGTCATCCTCAATAACTGCTACCCAGGATGAAATAAGTCTAAACATTTTTCAAGGAATTAATTTCATCATCTACAATTAAACTAAGCAAACTCTTTACTCATATAGTTGCTGCATATCTTATAAATGAGATAAAAGCGCGCATCACAATTTTCTAAAAACTTCACTCCAATCCTTCTTTTCTTTTGAGACACAAGCAGACAAACTCTCTTCTATTGAAGAAACCATCTGGGTGAATCAAAAACAAGCTCTCCAACTGCTTTACCTTCCTTTCTCCATTTTTGAAACCTTTCTGTTTCTGACATCCTGCTTTCTCTCGCTTCACCTCGCTGCATCTCTCTTCCTTTGAAAACATCTGGAGAGCACAGCTGCCGCGGACTCAACAGGCTTCACTAATTGAGCCTCCATAAACGTTTTATTTACCAAAGAAGCGACTTGGCCACCAATCAGCGAGACGCGGTGCAAGTGGCTGTCGTCGTGGGTAACCGGACAAATGGTGTCCGTGGGGAATTGATTAAATAGTAGTGATTTATGTTAAAGTATTGTCTTGCTGCTGTGCTGCAAGCGTCAATCTAAGAGTGCTGGAGAAGCATTGAAAAAGAGAGACGTGTAGTAAGAGCACTCTAAATCACTTAAACAGTTAGAAATGAGGACGACATTATGACACACTGAGATATTCCGAGGGCAGTTGCAGTACAGTTTAATAGCAAAATGTCCATCAATTACCAAAATCTTGCAGTCTCAAAAGAGGACTCAATATTTCCATGTATCAGGACATAGTTTAAACTCATCATTCAGCAATAATCCCTTTACTGTCTCTTAGGATTGTTCAAGGAATTTCTGAGAAATGGTTAAAAATATATACAATACACAGCTTCTGAGTTAATTTACTGCTGGGATTTCAGCATCAGGCAGGTTTGACAGCTCTATGTCAGATCAGCACCTTCTCTAATCTGACGGGATCCTAAATGAGCAGCAGCTTCATTTCATGAGACTTAGAACATTGTGTCCGGATGCAAAGCATGACTTTCTGAACATGGCTTTTTTTATTGTTGTCTCAATTATGTTGACTCCCCGGGAGCAAGTGGACGAAACCTTTAAAACGCACAAAGAGTGAATAACAAGAAAACAAATTAAACAAATAAAAATGCTGGAGCACAAAGCCTTTCATTGTGATTAAGTCTGACTGTTACTATGGCAACAGAGTGTCTGCCCTCGCATGAAGTAGTTGCTAATTAGTTTGTGGACGATAATAACTTGCAGGCTTAAGGTAAAGACAACCACAGCAGAGATGGCTTCTAATCATGTGTCCTAATTTAGAGTCTGGAGTGTTTTACTTTCACGACTAATAAAAACAGCAGGTGGGTGTAGAAAGGAGAAGCAGACAGCAGCGGCAACAAAGAACAAAGTTTGGTTTGCTGAGAAAACCTTTTTGACTTAATGTGTCTCACAAAAAAAATGTGCCTGATCCTCTGCAGGGACCACGGATGCTTGTTACTAAAGTCATGATAATCGATGGAGTATTTCAAAACCACATGGTGGCGCTAGAGTTGAAAATCAAGGAATCGCTACAGTCTTTAGATCTGAGGACCCTGAGTATTTGTACACATCTGCTGCCATTTCACCTAGTAGTCGTCGACTTAAGTGGTGGGCTGATTCCAGTGATAATAGCTTGGTAAAAATTCATTATAATTCCTCGTTACATTTGCTGTATTTAAAAAAAAACATTGTACAATACTGTAGTAATGTTTGCTATATTTGTCTGAAAGCTGTAGTCATGTTGCAGACAATGATATAGTGTAAATATATAATCCAATAGTATGATCTTTAATGGGTTTTTACAATAATAACAATATACTCCACTAGCTTACCACCAAACTGTTTTGTACACCTCCATAATATTCTGCCAACCCAGACGGAAAATAAATGACAAATTTCTCAGGCTGACTTTCACTTCCTCTTCACACACTGGATTTGGTACCAGAGAAAAAAAGCACAAAGCAAATTCATCACTGCCAAACATCAGACAGCCTGGCTCTGTCACTGCCTTTCCCATCAGCCCTGCAAACAAACACTCAGTCCACTTGTTTTTTTTTAAAACAGCGGAGCACTCCCCCTCTTACTGAAGAGGAATGTCTCACAGGACTGGAGAGAGGAGAGTAAACTGCTTCAAAAGAGTTATTTTGATGATGTAGTAGAAATGTGCTACAACAGCACAGTAAATGATGGTGCACAATTCTACAACAGTGTCAGGCAAACATGAAATAAGATGCACTTGAATGAAAAAATTTAATTACATACTCTTATAATTAGCATTTTAATATGCAGCTGATGGAAAGATGTGAGATAAAGAGGGAAATGGTTGATTATTGCTGAAAACATTTGCAACATATAACAGTGACTCTTTTCAACAGTCAAATTAAAAGAGGCTTTCTCAACCACCCTAAGGCATTCAATTACTGCACAAGGTTCTGAAAATATCCCCAGTTCAACTGAGAAATAATAAAATCTTAAAAAAACTAAATTAATTTCCCTTTAAGGGTGAACTGAAGCCCAACTGTTTCAAAAGGTTCGCCGTATTTATCTCCAGTCCCGCCACGAGCAGCGTGCCAGCGCCAATATCTGTTATCTTCCACCATCATCAAATTGCGAGTTTCGTCAGACTTTTTGACAGAGGGTTATCGTTCATTTCATTAAGTGAGGTTGGGGATTCCGCATAATCTGTTGGCAGGAAACAAACATGGTACAAAGCCTAATTGAACTCGATTAACATTTCCCTGCTTACCAGATTTCCATTCCGCTGGATCACAATTGGTGAGGGAATTGGGCAATCCGCTGAGTGATAATAACAACTCCGGCAGCACTTCAGCGACTGGACCATCAAGCACACGCCAGAGAGGAGATGGGTAAATCCAGACAAACTCCCTGAGTGTGTGTGTGTGTCCCAACAATTCTGTTTGTCAGCTGAAAAAATGGTAAATGGTGACTGTCTGCTTTTGCCAAATGATGGCAGAACAAATGTTTGCATGTCACTGTGCATGTGATTCAGGATTTAATAGAGCCACTTTCGCTGACACCACATCAAAATGGGCTCCTGTAACCATATCCCGATTTAACGCCACGCCATTAAACAAACACAAGGCTATTTGTGAAGCCTTCCTTGTTTTTATATTTGTCATATTTGTACAACTGCGTAAAAGACACTTAGAAAAGGTCTTTATCATCTGGTTTTATGCATATACCCACGTTAAAGAGAATCGTATTTGTATAATATGACAAAGGTAATTGGCTGCATAGGTTTTCATTTTTAAAACATAATATGTCAACTGAGTTTAACACACAAACACAAATCATATACAAATACTGTAAACTGTTAAACCAATACGAAAAGCACTTCCTCTAAGAGAAACACAAAGTCTAGTTTTGATTTGACCCTCACTCTTAAGAGGATTACGCTGTAGAACAGCCCTCAGGCATTTTCCACTTATCTACAGAAATTGTTTTTCTGAATGTAATACACATGATAATGTGTATAGCTTTATAGGAAATAGATTGCTT